TCTACATCGTGACCTTTGAGATTATACCCAAGGTAGCTGATTTCACGAGTTTCTCTTTAAGGCTGTTATCATCATCTTCGATTACCATGAGCTTTTTGTCTTGCCATACCATTTAAGCGTGTGGTTTTTACTCGCGAATTTCGTAGTAACTTCTTCACCAGTATAGATTTCCATGACCCGTCGATGCCCAAGTTGCATTGTACAAATACTTTCAGACTTTCACGTGCCTTTCCAGACGAAATCCTCGTTCATTTTGAGTAGGTTTGATTGCTTAAAAGGTGTTAACGTTATAAGCATACTTTAATTGTTCTTGTGAGAGAAGGCATGACCGGTCGCCATGTTTATTGCACAATTTTTTTTAGGAAAATCATTTTAGGATATACGATACCCACAGAGGAGAGAGGACTGGGGTAAGAGCTATGGTTGGAGCCCGTCCTCTCTTTTCCTCTCTCCACATTTCGACCTTTCGGGTGTCCTCAAAAGCTATGGCTATGAAATATTAATTCCCTCTGCAAGGGGTCACACGGGCAATATCAGAATTTAGTCGCTAGTTTTATCAAGGAAAACTTGATGAATTTCATCGTCGCTTAACTCCCCAAATCCACCATTTTGTTTACCTTTCTCTACTAGACAGATATGACCTGATCTAAGTCTAGAAGAGAACCAATTAGATTGCACATTAATTATTTCATATCCTGTGCTTGTGTTTTTGACACGAGAACATAAAAATACACACAAAGACGACAAGTAAATGAACTGCGAAAGACCATTATAAAAGCGAATATCTTTTAAATTCACATAGCCTATGAACATTAAAGTAGAATAAATTTTACTTATCTAAAGATGTCTTTTAAATATTTTCGTTTGTATATCCAACTTTAATCTCGTTTTATATTTCATTACTTAATCTCGATTTGAATAGTGGAGCTAAGCTATGGAATAAACTCCCTATCTACACCAAACTGGCTGAATCAATTCACGTATTCAAGAGCCACTTAAAACTTAACTCTAACGTAATGAATATACTTAAAAACATACTGTAATACCTTCCAACCATAATAATTATCTGGGGTCACACCAACTTGTACATAGTCTTTAGTTTCTTAACGCTCTTTGTAATTTTTAATCTTGCATGTGTACGCCCCCGTGGAAACCAACGTATTGTTGTCGAGGGCGGTGTCTTTAAATAAATTTTACATACACATACATATATACATATATACCGAACCGCGGCCGAACCGCGACTGCAGTGTTAGGTTATTTCTGGACAGCACTGTATGTAATTCAGATGATCGATGTCTCCCATGCAGTAATTACTCTTGCGGCTCGATTTTGATATTTTTGTAACCTGTCCTTAAGGCCAATTCCACAATTATCCCATAATGGGCTGCAGTAATCGAAATAATTATGTTACGCTTGGGAGTGACCATTGAACTCAAAAGAACTTTCATATGGGTGCAATTGGGTTGAGTACGTAACTTTCCGCCTTTTTTCGCTGTTACTGTTTCTTGGCAAATTTAAAATTGCCTTTAGTTCATATAAAAAAAATAGTATAGAAATTAATAAAGAAAAAGTATACAAACGAGGTAAAGTTTATTATACTTTTTTACAATAATTATCGTGGTTTTAAGAAAACTCGATCGCTTTTATCAAAATGACTTTTAAGTTCAGTTAATTCATATTCTATAAAACGATTTTAATGTTGGAAATAACAACAAAAAAGAAAACAAATGCGAGGTAAAATTTGTTATACTTTTTATTGACACAGTATAATTTAATTTAAGAAACTTATTTATGTTTTCCGAGCGAAATAATAGTCAAAAGCGGCGAAAAATCAGAATTGTATTTCTTTCATTTTTCAAGTTTGCAAAAGTCCATATATAAACATAACTTTACACGGTTCGCCCGAAGATATGGATCTTATGTTTTCGTTTTATAAACAACAGCCCCGTTTACACTACACTACACGAGATATTTGGTGTATACGGCACGGATAAAACTGGCACCCGTACTATTTTTATCCGTTATCCGTGCTTGGACTACCTATTTAGACAGTCCAAAGTACCTGTAAAAGTGGCACGGTCGGAACTTTTATCCGTGCCGTACCAAATATCGCACGTAGTGTAGAGAGTTATATAGTTTGACGTTTACGGCAAACCGCGCGGTTCGATTCCCACCGTGGTCAAGCTAATTTTTCAGCTTGCCTGGTTGCTGACTCAAGAGTAGCAACATCACATTCACATTTAATATACACACCTGAGTCTTTGCATTATGACTATCCATTTAAGACGCACTGATATGGAAGGGGACTAGACTGAGTTCCGCGAAATATCAACTACTCGAACCATCTTGACTTTGTAGCTCAGTTGGTAGAACATTGAGCTAGCAAACCAAAGGTCGCGGGTTCGATTCCCACCGTGGTCAAGCTAATTTTTCAGCTTGCCTGCAGCCTCGTACCCAGGCGCTTCAATAATAAAAAATAATGTTGCATTCAGTTATTGAAAAGAGGTCAGCTAAAAAAAACGCGAGCGCGTGGGGGTGCTTGGGGTGGTTTTGACAAATTTAGCGCCTGGCAGAAAATGAATTCAACATGGAAACAATCAAATGAATAAACAATATAATACAATACAATATAATTATATACTATAATTACTTGAATTAGATCCAGGTTTTTACAGATACACCGGTTTTTAAAAATGTTATAGGTTGATTAATATTGAACATTTCATGTTACAAATTATATCCGATAAGTATCACGTATGGAATCAATTTACTTTTAAACTCAAGTTGTTGCCATATCGCGTTCAATACATCCTCGGATTATTAAACCTGTAAACAAAGGAATATAAGTTTATCTTTTATTTCATGGCCATGTTATGTTTTGAGTTTCGGGTTTAAAATTAGCAATCAGACACTCTATGCTTTGATACTATTTAAAAAAGCAACTTGAAAAATTCAGATAAATAATGTTTACGTGTAAATATGGGACTTCATTGCAAAGAATTCAGCCAGAGTCAGTTCACTGGCCAGAGTACATATATTCCATAGAGCCAAATCAGCCAATTTTTTATCTGTATATAGCTAATCTGTGCGTGATTAAACTGCTAAAGTTTTTCAATGAAAAATTGTCTTAGCCAATCAGAAGTTGCTAATCACCAGTCCTTACTCGTTCAAATTTGCTCGTGCGCACAAGTGCCATAAACATTGAACGTCCACGGTACATGACATAAAATTTGGACAACTTTGGATTCCGCTATGTTTTGTCACAATACCCGGGTGTAATCCAAATCTCCGGGAGGAATTAGTACCCTCGCACGGCGCTCTGCGCCGGCTCGGGGATTATAACACAAATTCAAATTGTGCAATGAGAAAGCTAGATTTCTGCCACGTAATCGTGAAATTTTTCTCAGTATCGCTCTTACGTCATCCGTATTCGCTGCAACGGCAGATTTTTTGATATTCACCGGTGAATATCACTCATATTCACCGGTGAATATTAATTCGCAGAAAAACGCGTGGCCGACGCGTGGTGCCCGGGCAGGAACAGTGTTGCTGTTTTTTTGAAATCAAGAAATTTACGATTCTTACGAGAGAATTCTCGACGAAAGAAATACAGAAAACACAAAAAAGTTGACTAATGTTAAAATACGTTATACGGTAACTTTTTTATGCCCAAGTACTTTTACGGATTTATAGAAATACTATTCTGAACCTTTGTACTGTATGTTTGGCGATTCTACAAGCTCACAATATTTTTCGGTATAATATTGTTATAGATTTTTATTTCTTCTTACGCGAGGTAGGAGATCTTTACAAGGGTTTACTAAAGTTCATTAATGTTCTCTTCTTTCTCCGTTCTTCTCTTCTCTTCTGATTATTCGTCCTTTCGGATCTCGTTGTTTTCTGTTCTTGTCTTCTTCGTCAGTTCTGTCGTTGAGCTTCCTAACGTTTTATAAGTTAATCTTTACTCCGTCAGTCCACTGAAGGTTGGGGTGTTGTGCACGCCCTTTTATAGTAACGGTTGAGGGAAACTTGTAGACGTCATCAACCAGAGTGGGCTGATCCTTATCCAACCAATCAGCGTTGTAAGTTAGAAATGTGGGTTGGTCTTAGAAGCTCGTTCCAGCTCTCATATCTTGTTTGTTTAAGGCGTTGTCGCACTAGTCGAGTTGGTCTTCTGCTCAATCGATCAATACTTAAAAATGTTCACAACTTAAAATATTCATCATCAACAACTAGTAAAATATACCAACAATACGTCTGTGAACAATATCTTTCAACTTAAACTATTTTCACTCTTATTTTATCGAATTGAACTTTTGATGACGTAATCTATTACATGCTTGACCGAGCAACATTTTTACCACAATTGATTGACATAAGAACTTGAATGGCCTACAGCACGCACACTTTTTTAAAGAATGCAACCATTAAGATAAGTGACGACTTAAGACTGTTTATCCAGGTATCAGTTCTGAGAGGATTATAAATATTTTCACCTTATTACTCATTTAATCCCACGATATGTCATACATGAAAGGGAAAGGCGATTAATGTTTGCTAATGGCCGAAAATTATATTTACTCAGGCGTCTTGTGGCAAAAATCATTCACTAATCCCTGTCATGCAATTGATATTCCTATTTTTACAGCTATTTTTATATGCATATCTCTAAACACAATAAAGCTTTGCGTAACAATATATATAATTTATAGACCCTCTGCTCGGGGGATTCGGCAAAACATCTCGCCGAATCCCCCTCATTCCAGGTCTATAAATGATAAATATATCTTTCGTCTTTCACAGGAGGTGCAACACACCGTGGAAAACATTTTGTCCTGGGATTCACCGCTCGTATAGATAGCGTTTTTTACAGTGGAGTGAATAAAATATCAATATCTGCATTATTCGATACATATGTCAATATTTCTTTACACAAATCAAGAAGTGCACGTCTCAGAAACAAGTTCATAAAAGCTGGGGACGTTTTCAAATACAAGATGCCAACATGGATAAGAATGCGTTCAACAAGGGTAGACACAAAGGGCATATTGGTAACATCTACCGCAGATGTGGCTGTATCTTGTTTAAGCCAGGCACGATTTACTTCTGACAGTTATCTTGCATTGCCTACGACAAAACTGGGTCGAAAGTATGTGGTTGCATCTTATGAAAAAACAAATTTGGGGATAATTTCAACTGAAGACAACACAGTTGTCAGTATCACACTCAATGCCGACGGGGTTCTTCGATACGGTCAAAAGTTATACAGGAAAGGAAAAAATATTGTGTTGAGATTGAACAGGTTGGAAACATTTCACATTGACCACAATGCAGATCTTTCTGGGACAATTATTGAAGCAAATAAGGCTATAGCGGTTCTATCCGGTGATAAATGTGCTAAGGTTAACACTAGGTTTTGCGATCATCTCATCGAATTCCTTCTTCCCGTCCAGAACTGGGGCACAGAATTTGTAGTTGCGACAACAGGGCAGATGAACAAGAAAGCTGGAGACATTTATCGTGTGTTTGCTTATGAAAACGACACTCGTGTTCGCAATAAAGATGGATATCGTCTGCTACAATCTGGGCAGTTTACTGAATATGATTTAGGGGATAAGTTGGCTTCATTCTTCGAGTGTAGTAAGCCTTGCCAAGTTGTCCAATATATCAAAGGATATTTAGAAACGCGAGGTATAGAGGTTGATTCATCATTGCTTATCGTGCCGTCTATCGATCATTTCCTCGATACGTATAATGTATATTTGTCTTGGATGAAAGAGAACGAGTTCCAACATTCTGTGACTCTCCTCACTAAATCCTCCCAGAAAGAGGGCCTCTTAGTGAATGGAGGAAACACGACTTCACTCCAATGGCAAAACATTGAAGGAACTAAATTTTCGTGGACAATTCTTCAAATTTCAAGCAAGTGCACAATATCCCACAGATCGCGTGATTCGTTATTTGGCGCCTTGGTATTTGGGGAAGCTGCATACCATTCTCATGGTTACCCAGCTGGATTGAATACTCTCATAGCGAGATCAGGTATGAGGAATTTTAGGGGCTACTGGCCGTAGTATAGAGGAAAATAAGATATTTTGTAATATATATCAATTTTTTACTAATTCAGTTGTATCCAAATTAAAAATGTATTCATTACTCGAAAATAGTAGGAGTTAGTTTACATAATTTGAATCATTGGATTCTCAGAAATGACATGCTGTGAAGATTGAAGATGTGGCACTTTTTTATTTCTGTATAGTCACAGCCACTTGGTCTCGATGGTCTGAATGGTCCGAATGCACTGTTTCTTGTAATACGGGAATCCAAATGCGAAAAAGGACATGTACAGGAACAAACTTAATACTGAATGACAACCGGCGGTGTCCTGGAGCAGATTCAGAAACTCGAGAGTGTGCAACATGGAAATGTCGACGTAAGATTATATTAACTTGCCGGGCATTGCTGTGTATTTTGCGGGCTAAAATGATAAATTTGCCGGGCTGAAACATATTTTAGCCCCTGGTATAAGCCAATCAAAAGAATGACTTAAGTGTTTACCTATTGCATAAAGTTAAAGTTAATATAATAGTAAATGAGTTCGGAACAAAAACACATTTATGCCCGCAAACATCAACTCTATTAGCATATTTAGATTATCTAAGCTAACACAATTTATAGGACGAGCTGTTGCCTCGGTAGACTATTGAAATCCCGTGTTTAAGAAGGCTCCCAATAGTCATCTATTTCTCGTGATTACTATTTGGTAATGTATAATTAAGTTTGATTTAGTTGCTCAAATTAGGATCCTGCCCAGGCGGGACGGGAAATAGAATACGTCCCACTTTCTTATGCGATAATCGGATCATCATCTAGTATTAAATGTCATGATGGAAAATGGTCAGATATCCCACCTGAATGTGTAGGTTCGTATTTTGGTTTTTCTTATTTTTACCATCCAGATAATTGTAGTCTTAATTGCGAGAAATATTTAGTTAAGGGAAAACAAGAAAAAACAAGAGTTATGTGTCATTTTGTTGTGCGTAAAATTCTTTTACATTTATTTTTAGCTTTTTGCAGAAAAATGTCATATTAAGAACGGCCAGGTGCTTGGTGGCGGATCACTGGAAGGGGACGAAATAAGTTTTGTTTGTAATAAACACTACATGTTGGTTGGGGAAAAAGCTCTTCGATGTGAAACCAATGGTAAATGGAACGCCTCAGAGCCAAAGTGTAAAGGTAATTAGGTTGTTATTCTCGAAATTCTACTTCTTCGAAATATTTGTCAATGTTGTTTTGTCACACGGTAGTTTCCGGAGTTTTTTCCATTAATTCCATTGATTCGGTTTATGTGTGAAGTAGGTGACAATAGAGCTAAAAATCGATGAGATGGCCGTGATTAAAACCGTTTTCTATTATTTCAGTCGAAGCTTCATGGTCGAGGTGGGGAAGATGGACTGATTGCTCAGTTTCGTGTGATAATGGAATTCAAACACGCCAAAGAACGTGCATTGGGACAAATTCCGTTCTGGGTGATAACACTCTATGCGGTGAAAAGTCTTTGGAATCTCGGGCATGCGCAAACTGGAAATGTCCAGGTAAAGAAAATGTAATGCCAAATTGTACGCACTGGTATAGCTTGAGCACCGGGATTTGACTGATGGCCAACGGACGTTAAGATACATTTGACGTAATCATAAAAAAGGCATGCCAGCCGACGATTTAAAGAAATAAAAAAGTAAAAAACAAATTCCTTAAAGACAAGATCTTCATTATGAGAGGCTACAACAGTCTGTTTCATCCGTTTAGGATTGCCACCTGAAGATTCTAATAGTTATTATCGAGCAATCATTTAATGATACAGCATCTTTATATATTTGTACATCAGTTACAGACACAAGCACCACTGGCATGCAGGAGCAGGCCTCGCAACGTCTTTTGGTTCAACCCTCCTTTCAGTAAGAGTGTCGGAACCAATCGGTTGACCGCAGCTTCCTAAACCTGCTCGACACACAGCCACACAACACTTCCCACCTAGACACAGTTAAGGTAAACCACAGTTGTATGGGCAACTGCAGCACTAAGAGCACCTTTCCCCCCTAAGAAATAAGTGCGTGAGTAAGAACATTGCATACAAGCTAGGCAGCTGTCACCACTAGCAATGCAAACACGTGTAATCAGAAAAGAATCTTCCGCGCCGATTACATTATGCGAAAAAAATATTACGAACCATTCATTGGTTTGCGGCAATGTGGGACAATTTGCGACAGAATGTAAAGACAGTCGATTTTAAAAGGGGTTAGTCACGCACAACATGAACATGTGCATGACTCAGTATGACACCCAATTAAATATAATGCCAGCTACGCCACAGATTGTTTGAACGCCTGGGCCACCACGTTTCGTCCAAAACTACTTAAGCGGCGTCATTTCGTTATTTGTCTACCACCTGAAGATTCCTATACGGATGAAACAGACTGTAGTGGACGATTTTGGTAAGCAAAAACGTAATGTGATTACAAATATGTGATTCCGGTTTTTTGTCAAAATAACTTCTTACATATCGAGTGAAGTTATGAAACAACTTTCAATAGTGAGACAAAAGACTAACTATAGATTTTGATATGTCATAGTTTTTTAAAGAAATTCATGGAGATATTACTTTTCAAAATCGGTACAATATTTTGGGATGTCTCTAAAATATATAAAATAAGCTGTAAAAAATTGGAGGTGAGTTACCTTTTCTAATTATATTTATATCAACATCTTTAGATTGTAATAAAATCTGCACAACTGGGAAGCTGGATACAACATGCGATGCTTGTATTTGTGACGATAACACACTAAGTGGAGTGGTCAAAGACAACACCGGTATTCTCTTGGAGAATGCAACCATTGCTCTTGCCGAGTTTCCGTTTAAAATATTAGGAAAGACGGGTGTTTCTGGGAAATTCGTATTGAAAGGATTCTGTATTTCAGAGGACAACATCATCGTTAGCAGAAAAGGCTTTTTACCGCAATCAATTAGAACGACAAAAGTTAACCCTACTGCAGCAGTCGTGACAGCAATCTTGAGGAAAATTGGTAGGGGACAAAATTAAAGTAATTTCATGATGTCGATAATATATTATATAAACATATGACTTGGTGAAAACTTACTTTGGCGTTAATTCTTGTTTATATGAGTGTATTTTCAAGCAAAAACGGAAAAAGGAGAACTCGGAGAAAACGCATCCCCGCGGCTTTGTTTGTCCCATCAGTCACTTCAACCCGAATGCCTAGCAAGGAGCTCCCCCCTACCGTGAATAATCAATAGCTCAATTACGATACAGTTTGAAGATCTTGGTAAAAAAAGGCGTAGAGTGTGAACCAAACCGCGACATGCCTATAGTCGTTTAAGATTTTCTCTAAATCGAAAAAAATTGAGCGCGCGACTATGAATTGAATTCGATGCATGTGGATGCTCTGACAACTCTAACCGCGACTACAGGGGTGGATCCGGCACTAGTGCACTAATTTGCATTACACGAGAACTGCTAAAAAGAACCACTTTGCTTTGTAGTGCACTAGTGCTGAATCCACCCCTGCGCGACTATCCTTGCACTATTTCCGGCTAATAATTTCTTAATCACTTTAATCGCAGCGGTCAAGATACTGCCGATTTGCATCAAGGACTGATTACGTTACTGATAACAATTTTTTAGACTTCCCAGAAATAACATCTCACCCTGAAAGTAAACTACGGCTAGAAGGTCAACCTATCACATTATGTTGTGAAGGAAAATCAAGTACAAAGGCAAAATTCGAATGGTATGTTTTCCTTCGTAGCCAACATTTCACAATGCATAGAATAATACATTTCATTCAATTAATTTCAAAATTAATTTTATTATATTGCCTTTTCTGCACACATAACTAAATTTTCTCGTCAATTAATTACCTAAATGTATTTATAAAGAAAGCAAACAGATACGAAAAGATAAAAAAATCTTCGGATTATCCCCCTAATTGTATTTTTTTTAGGACGATTAATGATCGTGGAGCAGATGAATACCAACATGATGAAATACAAAGCAGTAAATTGATTATACCTCATGTTTTTAAAAACATGAGTGGGGAAATAAAATGTAGAGTTTACGATGATCACGGAGCAGAATTTTCAGATCCTGCCAGGATAACCGTTTTTAGTAAGTATGGTGGTATTATCTACACTATACGTGTTTTTCTTTGGACGGAAAAGAAAAGGATGGCCTGGCGAATGTCTAAATTGTTTTAATATTAATATATTTAACATTTATATTTTAAGTCTTATAGTCGATCTTAAGTCTTATATATGTGCTGATAGCTGACAAGGCGCGCAGCGACGAATTAGCTATATTAGTCATATACGATGAGAGTGAGCAGAATAACTTTAACTGAACAAATTTATTCGTAATTTGGACATTATAGTGAATACAGTGAAAAAATTTAATAGTTAAATTCCTTATCGTGTTTTTTTCTCGAACGTTTTATTATACAGAAAAACAGAAACAAACTCATATGTTTTGTAAACCTATATTTTAACCTACCGTTCAGCACTTTTATTTCAAAGTTTCGTGTCCTTTCGGTGCACTTTGGTGTACTTTTATCAAGGAAATTTTGAATTTCATCGTCCCTTAACTCCTAAAAACTTGCCGCCATTTTGGTCACGTTTCTCTACCAGACGGC